GAACTCATGTAATGACACAATATGAGTTTGAGCACAGCACCTCTGCTCAGGAGAAATTCCAGTAACAAATGATGACATGAACATATTGAGACCAGCCCAACTATTGAGTTCTATGTTTTCCTGGGATTTGTCCCAACCTAGCATTTTTCTTGGGGATTAGACCTAACTAATGGAAGAGAGGGCTCCACCCAGTGACAAGCTAACTTGACTACCAATCAGCAGTCAGCACCATCTTTTGCTATTTGCTTGTACTGTGAATGCTGCTGCATGTTAGACAGAGCAGTTATTTTATTTTGAAAGATGAGATAAGATGATTTTACTGCTTTATTATTATCATTGCTGTTACGTGGTTCAAAGGAGGTGTCTTACATAGACAGCTTTATTCTGATAGGTGCCTTGGTTGGCAGTTTTGTGGTTCTGCAGTTTTAAATAATACCTCAAGGGGGCATTAGGGTCATGTGCCTCCTTGCCCCAGAGGCAAGGAGGCACATGGGCCTTCTGCAGGATTAATAGTCATGTGAAAAAATTTCAGTTACAAAATCAAGGAATGTGTAAGACAAGGGTGCTTGAAAACATGTGAATAACATTTGCACATTTACTAGCAAGAATTAAAGAAACATTTGTGATTGGCCCAACAGGCAAGAGCCTGTTATGGAGAATTGGGTTGGTAGAGGTTTGGTTCTGTGGGTAGCATGGATTATGTGATGTTCCAATTCCCACAGCCACAGTGCACCTCAAAAAGAGCTCCTGTGAGAAATTCTATTGGGGAGAAATCAAAGCCATAGTGTAATGTGTCATTGAATTTATAGGATAATAGCTTCATGTTTGTATACCTTTTTGTCTGAACAGTGTTTCATACTTCCAAAACATTTATTGCACAAATATTTTGGCACATTGGTGTATTGTGAAGATTACAGAGTACACATGTTGAAAAAGCTATGCAAGTGCGATATATTTCTTTCCCCACGGTGGGCTGGGGGTCAAATGAGATTTCTCTCACATGGTATGCTACTTCAAATCAAAACTGTGAGGTAATTGGAAGGATTTTGAGAAAACTGGCTTTACTGATCAGCGTACACATCTGATGTAACAAGTGAAAATACAAAAAGGTGGGATGGTCCCCTTGAGCTTGTGTAGATCTCACACTTGTGCACACAGATTCATTAAGCCAGGACGCTATATTTGAGCTTGGGAAATACAATGAACGCCGGTCCGACGAAATTGGAAAACCGTAGACCAATAGAGACAGGACTTGGGCGATCGGAGTTGCTGTGGCAGATCAACAGAGGCTCCCATCAACCATGGAGCCTCTTCAGTGCTGAGCAAAGAAGAAGAACTCATGACCAATGTGGTGGGCATCGGAACGATCGGGAGTGCCCACGCGGGTGACCATATTGTACACCGGCCGGAGTGCAGGTCCCTCCAAGCAAACGGGAAGAATTCAGGACTACTGTGGAAGCAGCGATCGAGAGTGGCAGATGAACGCATAGGGTCACCGGCAACAGCGGAGGAACTCCGAGTTCCTCCGCTGATGATCCTCCCGAGATCCTCCGAGAGATGAAGTGCCCAAGACCAACGTGGCGGACCCTCGTGCGATCAAGAGTGCCGAGACAGGTTAACGGAAACGGCCCGACAAGATTGTAGGGTTCTCCGCAAAGTGGAGCAAGCGGAAAGGGCAGTTGACCAATGAAATGGACCTGTGAGCATCAAGCACTTCGTAGGGTTACCTGATATGGCCCCCAGTAAATGTGCAGGGCCCTCCGAGTAAGGCGAATGGATCCGAGACAAATGTGAGGGACCCCTGAGCAACCGAGAGTTCCCTGGCGGGTTGACGTATGGGGCCACGGCACTAGTGCAGAACTTTTTGTGCGAATGGGAATAATCCGTGGAAGGCCACTGTTGATCGAGAGTGCTCCTTTTGGTTAGCATTGCTAGACACTGATCCAACGGCACTGGGTACGTGTCCAATAGTGGGCCCATTGTTTGACCCAACTGAAAGGGAAAGGTCAGCTGGCTACGGCCAACGAGGGTCAACCCAGGCCCGGGGCGGCCGTGCCGCAAACGTTATGCGGACGTAAAACCCTTCAGATTCCTGTCTGGCGAAAGGGCGCGTGCAAAGTTACGCCGTTGAAGTAGGCGGACGTCTTGGGCGATGTGGTTCAGGGTACATGCAAACATGTTACGCTTAGCAGGTGCTCGGAATCCAAAACCACCATGCAAACGAATCGGAGTATGGTTATGAAACGTAGGAGTTCCCTGGAGCGATCGAATTGCCAGGCAAGCAGACTCCATGGCACCAGCTTAGGGCTCGGGACGACGAGATGACCCGTTAAACCCCTGAGTGCCAGCCTCAATCAACAAACAAGTTCTTTTTTTGTCTGTGCTAGCGGTCATTCTACTTGTGCCCCATTCGGTTGCTGCAGGCCCACAGAACGTGCGTTGTTTTTCGTTGTATTATTAAAGAACCGTCCGCTCGGCCATTTATTTCCGCTACGGTGTTTATTTGGATCCATCGAGGCCATAAACTTATAATGAAAAATCATAGCTAAAAAAGGGCACAATGAACCCGTGCCTCCCCCTCCCCCCTTCATCCGGAATACTACCACGAACCCATCCCCCTCCTTCTGTTTGCGTTATGAAGAACGGTGAATATGAACTAGTGTCAAAATGAGCAACGGCTTAATGCTTGACTTGGAAGTGGGTTTATCCATGACCATCTTGTGTGGCTGAAGCAAGTTCGATCCGTCTGATAGCTGTCGTCGTCGCCATACCTTCGTGTGGTTCCACAGTGCAGTCTGTCATTGCTATTGACATAGTTACGGTTTGTTGTACCAGAAGTGGCATACTAGAAGTCATCCGACTTCTTCTAACATTACCATTAAATTTGGGTGACTGTTTTCCTTCGCATTATGTCGCGCTCACCTGTGATGCCTGTGTTATAGCTAACGTGTTCGCCGTTGATGCGGGTGTTATAGCTAGCGTGTTTACCTGTGATGCCGGCGTTGTAGCTAACGTGTTCACCCGTGATGCTGGTATTATAGCTAACATGCTCTTGTTTATTGCAGGCCACATCTCCATTTGCCACCAAATTCATTGCTCTCCAGCACAACGTCACAATTGAGAACGAAAACGAACCACCCATCTTCTTGTACAAATGGTATCCAGGATCTGTGCGTCATCTTCTTCTACTTCCTCATCTGCATAGTCATACACGCCATTGTCCAGGAATTCATCATCGATGTGAGTAGCTTTCCAGACAATGTGATCTTCTCATCCATTCAGCACCTGGCATCTAGATGGCTATGAATGTTTTACAGGCGATGTGCGTCGCTAGCGGTGGTTTGAATGTAATTTGACGCACGTCGTCACGCACCCTGCTTTGGAGCGCCAGCGACTCCTGCGGCGATATGAGCGCTCAGCGGCGGCCATGACGCGACCGGGGTTCGAACCCAGGGCCCCTCATGGGAGCCGAAGGCGCTAACCACGTGGCCTCTACGTCCCCCCTCCGATGGACCAAGCATGGTCTCACGCCTCGGAGATAGTCTTGTTATTTTAAACCTTTGTGGTATTGCTGCATTGTTTTGTAAATAATTGCATTGCGGCAGTTCGTGGGGTGTTAAAAAAGGCTTATGTTTCATGCTGACGTTTCAGAAAATCACAAGAGGTTGCATTTGAGCAAGACCAGGCACAGCCGCTTCACCGAATCTGGACAGCTACTGGTGTTCTATCTGGTCTCGGTAGCCTGGGGCGGACACATCATCTACAGGTCAGCGCACTGGCTGAATGTGTGTGTAGCTGTGTTGTGGTATTTACAAGCAGCCTTGATGTAGATGGAAAATAATTGCTAGCTGTACTTCTCAAGCATAGCACCAAAGCCTGACGTCTGGTAGTATTCATGAGTGGGTATTATGTAATGCAGAACCATCCATCACTCGCGTGTGCTGAGCAGAACGCTACCATGT